GGTGCTTGTTGGAACCCATGCGTTCCATGCGCGGTTGTTTCTTTTAGTTGGACTTTTTGTTACCCCAGTGCATGCATTGATGGGAGAGAGAAGCAACACCCGGCTTTGGACTTCTGGGGAAGGGGGGGGGGGGGGTCCGTGACGTGTTAGTGGTGCACAGCCAGCCGAGTTTGGTTCTACGTGCATGGGGTGTCCCTATACTTGCGAGCAGCTGAAGAACGGAAAACCAGCTATTCCAGGCCACTATTGATGATGAGCTGTCGCGCACCATCATCAGGGTACGTGCATCATACAAAAGAGATCAGGGGGGATTGACTCTGCAGGTGGAGGTATTTGGGATATCATAAGCCGGCCATGTACCGGCGGGTTAGTAGTATAGCATCGACCAATTGGGCCATCGTCATTCGATGCTGATTTGTTGTATCCCCTCTGGGATGTTGCGGGTGGCGCCCTTCTAGACACCCGGATGCCATACAGTATGGTTTGCGTCTTCCACTCGGGTGTGGTAGAGTAGTAGTAGTTGTTGTCCGGAGCCAGCGTTTTTTTGCGCCCGAGATCTCCTTTTGGGACCGACGGGTAGAAGGTCAGTCGCGGCGGTGGGACGACTTGGTGTGTTTCGTGAGATAAGTGTTTTCGTTCGCTACCATCAGCAGCATGTTGTGTTTCTGGACGGCTAGTGGTGTTGTGGTTGTTGTCTTGGTTGTTCGTGAATTTTGCCGCGCTCGAGTGTTGCGAGGATCGATGTGAGGACGGCGAGTTGAAGCCAAGCCTTATGTTGTTTGTTCTAGCTCTTTGCGTGAGTTTTGTTCTTTGATGCCTCTTTTTGTTGACTGCCGTTGATGGTCGTTGACAATTACTGATGATGACGACGCAATCTTCTTGTCTATTGAGAGAGAAAGGTCGAGAGCTACTTCTGCTGTTATTGTTGAGCTACCATGTGATATTCTTGACTGTTAGGTTCACTGAGGTAGGCGGGTTTAGTCTACACACACCCGCTGGCGCGTATGCGCGGCGATTCCTTCAGAAGGTGTGTGTTCGTTGTTTGTGCCTCGCTCGTTCCCCTAAGAGTGAAGTGAGTTTCTTGTTCATCCCACAAAGCACGTGTGTTTGCACCTACTACTTGGTTTGCGGTTACTGGAATCCTCATGGTTGAACGTCTTGCACCTGCGTTTGCACCTACATGTCTTGCGGTGGTATTGGATTTCTCATGGTTGATGAAGTTCAGGAAATATTCCCCGACTTATTTAGGTATCTGCCGGTGGTGGTGTTCTGGTGCTAGTAGTAGTTTGGGTATGCAACATCCTTTTTTGGTTATCGTCTGCCCCCTGGTGTGATTTTTCCCTATCGGCGGTAGGTGCGATACATCATTTATTTGTATGCGGTTGAGTCTTAGATGGGGATAGAGAGTGAAACGAACCCACACGTGCGCCTTGACAGGGCCGGTGGAGGAAGAGAGTTGCGGCGAAAAGACCCACCAGGAGAGGATGAATGGATGAATGTGTCATGCTGCGGCAGATAGTTGTCTTGTATTGCAGTAAAATAGTATGCTACGTGCATCGCAGTAAAGAAGCCTGCCTTTGGTATTGTGTGGTATTCCCTAGTGTGACACGGCCGCGCCAAGAGGCAACACACGTACCTGGCGGGGTGGGGGATTTTGGCTCTATGTTTGTATGAGCCTTGGGAGGGGGGGGGGGGGGGGGGG